TGTTTGATATCATTACTGTATGTCCTGTAGGATTTTCAAGATACCTCATTGTGTATACTGAATGAAGTGAGTAAGGACAGATCAGCAATGGGTCTCTGTATAGTCAATCTATTCCTCCAACTCAATAAAGTATGAAACTAATGGATTACATGTTTATGTTGATAATGTACATGTACATGTATTTTATCTTTTAGTTTGAGGAGTTAGCTCACAGACTGATTACAGCTGAAGTTACCTCCACCAGGTAATGCTTTATTTATTATTAATTTGTTATTCCATTTAACGGACAACACCTAGTGTACCAATTACATTCCTTACTGTATAAAATAACCTCCACATAAAGGACACCTCTGTATAACAGAGACACTTTCTTGTACATAAGTGTCCATTATATAGAGGCTACACTATAATTAATAATCTTTATTTATTTATTTATTTATTTATTTATTTATTCTAGTGATCCTAATACATTGTTTCGTGGTAATTCTGTGGCCAGTAAAGTGATTGATGAGTTCATGAAAGTTGTTGGACAAACTTATCTACACAGGACACTACAGCCTTGTATTGATGAGGTAATAAATGATGATGATAATAATAATAATAATGATAATAATAATAATAATAATAATAATAATAATAATAATAATAATGATAATAATAATAATATCATTAATAATAATAATAATAATAATAATAATATTATTATTATTATTATTATTATTAATGATATATGCACAATGTAATTAATGTTTTAATTTAGATTTTTGAAGTGAAGAGATCGTGTGAAATTGATCAGTCGAAATTATCTGAAGGAGAAAATATTGACCTTAACATGGTAACTTTGAAATGATTGTATACATGTACATGTACTTATGTTGTGTAGAAAGTTTGAGCTGATTCCGATCAAAATTGGATTTTTTAATGAATTTTTAAAGTTACTCTAAAATCAGGTCAAAGTCTCTCTACTATAGTACAGGGTCGTTGGCCAAATTTTGCCAAAAATTAAAAGTTGAGAATTTTTAATTTTTATGATATTTTCAGATGCATATACATGTATTTATGTTGCGTAGAAAGTTCGAGCTGATTCCGATCAAAATTGGATTTTTTTACAAATTTTTAAGTTTGCGCAAAACTTATTTTTGCTAATAATTATTTTAATTACATTTTTTACAATACATTATTGTATTTATAATTTCTTTCTTTCCCTCCATAGACTAATTTATTATTTTTTGTTGAGAAGCTCATGAGTGCCATTACTAGTTCTGCCCGTTCCTGTCCTTCAGTTATGAAGAGAATATTTCATTTATTACGAACTCTATCAGTCAAACAATTCCCTGGTGAGACCACACACCCCTTATATTAACTCCACCCACTTTTAGAGTTTGAAGATGAAGTTCGATTCACATCGATAAGTGGGTTTATCTTCTTAAGGTTTTTTGCTCCGGCCATTTTGAATCCAAAGCTGTTTGGACTACGACCCGAGAATCCAGTCAGTACATGTACACACTGCAATAAAATACATGTACTGTGTAGCAGCTGGTGGAATTTGGAAGGGAAGAAAGTTTAGTGATTTTGGCATT